TTTTACACACAAATATAATTATGATATTTTATTTCTTATGGTTCACGCACAAAAATAAAATTTGAACTATTTACTTGATAGTTTATTTATGATAATTAATAATTTAAATAAAAAAATTATTATTTATGACAATTAATTTATGTTAGAGAAAATTTATGGGTGATTACATTTTTCCTTTAATCCAGCAGATCTCATTACAATTGTTTGAGACAATTATTACGCTACAACAAGTGAATGGCCCCGAAGACGTATAGCTTGTATTGCTTGGAGTTTGCTACTGATTCCATGTTGCCTGTGGTACAAAGCCTGGCATTGCTGACCGCATGAAGTGGGCAAGCAAACAGTGATGGGCAGTAACGTTGCAGCTAGCACAGCTTCAATGAACCTTCCACTGTCATCACCTCGATGGCCCTGATGACCAAGTATGCTGTCAGGGATCATGATGGGGGGGGGGGGAGGGGGGAGGGGGGAGTGGCGTTGTTGGTCCAACAGAGAAGACTTGTGGTCCTTGGGACTTCATACAACTTGCCAAAGGCTACAGACGATCGATGAAGGAGACCGCATCAATGCTGTACTCATAAACAACATGATACCCACACTAGTTAATTAGTTCCATGCACAGATCTCGTACCAAAATGAATAGAGATTGAGAGACGTGATTGATTCCTACTTATTTGTAGGGCTTGCAAAACCATGGAATGACTCGAGGTGTATCAATAACAGCTTTATACTCCATTAAATCCTCCTCCTTGAATGTTACTTTTGAGATTATTTGAAGAAAACTGGATAGTCCAAGGACCAAGGATCTCTACTGTTATGGTTATCCTACCTAGGGGAGAGAGAGAGAGAGAGAGAGAGAGAGAGAGAGAGAAGAGGACTTGTACCAAAATGTATAAGCTAATTATTATGGGAAGTTGAGAGAGATTGGGAAGTGATTCCTACTTGTCTGTAGGACCTGCAAAGCAATGGAATAACTCAAGATGTGTATCAGTGATTAATAGCTACTCTATTTAAAGCTCCTTGAATATTACTTTGAGATGGATCAGTTGCAAGAAACTGGAAGCTGTAAGGATTAAGGATCTCAGAAGAGCTTAGCTAGACTTAGTTTAGCAGCAGTAATTGGTTATCCTACAAAGAATAAGAACCTACTAGTTACTTGAAAGAACCTGGAGAGTATAAGGATCCCAGCAATACTAGTTGCAGAATCTTAGCTTACAACTAGTGCTGTTCTTGAGATCCTTCAAGGATGAAGATGAGATTCAAATGACTTGGCTTATTAAATGTGGAAGTTCAAACTAAGAAGCTACTTGTTTCATGCCATGTGAAATTATTGACCAGTTCAGTAAGATGAGTTTTCTTTCCTGAGAGGGGAGAAAAAGATCATTGCTCACTTCATATCTGAAATGAGACACTGAAAGCAAAAGAGAAGAGAAGAAAGAAAGGAAAAGAAAATAACAACACAAGGCAAAGGAAAAGAAAGAAAAAATAGCTTCTGAGACCAAAGTGTGGGCCTAAGTGACCTCTTTCAAGCTCAAATGAAGAGCAATGCTTTATCAACCCTATGAAACCAACCAATGGAACAAACACCTAACTTTATGCTTCAATGTTATTGTAAGAGTTAGGTTGTCCCTCCTGTGGCCATCCTCAGGATCAACATATCATGCTGTTTGTGGTCATCTCACAAAGAAGAAGGACCTACCAAAAGTTACATGGATACTAAGTTGAGATTGCTTTGAGAGAACCTGTGAAGGCCACCAGGAATAAGTTCCCACCAATGCTAGTTGCAGAAAATGAGATTCAAATGAGTTTGCTGATGGAATGTGGAAGCTCAAACTAAGGAGTTCCTCTTCTCATACTCTGGTGAGATGACTCCAAGTCTCACATCTGAAATGATACACAGAATAAAAGGGAAGAAAGAGAAGGAAAAGAAATGTGGCATTATGAGATATTCGACGAGCAAATAAGAAGCAATGCAGTCTCAACCCTATCATTGCTTTCCCTGGCGAGACAAGTTTCAGGTGAAACCATAATCTCTGCGGCGACGATGGCCGTCTTGTGCTTCCATGTCATTGATTGCATCAGGCTATCCTCTGCTGTGGCCATCCTGTGATAATGATTCGGTGCAACCTAAACATTCACAGACTGTGGCCTATGGAAGCATCACCTTGCTTCAGGCAACACCGAAGAAGATGACATGATCAATGGTCTTGAATTCGACCGATGAGCGAGCTTCGACGGTGGTGAAACGTAGGTATCAAGAAGAGATAAAAGACCTCATTTCCAGATGAGCGCAAAGAACACAAGTTGGATCCATGTAAACAGGGACTTGAACATGAGTTTCACAAACAGCAATGAGTCTGCATTGAAGCGATCTGTTTCGGAAACTCCAATCTGGGATCTAATAAAAGCCACAATGGCATCAAACTATTTCCAACAAATGCAACTGCAGATAAATAGAAAGCTCTCAGGAACGTGAGAGATAAAACTTTTCCTGGGATCACTTCTTTTAATGGCAGAGAGAGGGCCGAGGGGGGAAACAAGCATGGCCTACTGAGACCATGGACTTTGCTTTGCTTTCTTCATGATGTGGGGGCAAAACCTCAATGCTCACCATCGAATAACCTCAAGATCATATGGAGAAATGTTTGTCGATGGAGTCCTCTAAGAAAACAAGAGATGCTATTTTCTTACTGAGAAGTGGTGAATGATGCTGCAATGAGACTCTCCATCCACCACCACAGACTCATTCCAGATTCTACTCAAGACAATGCTATCTAACATACACATATAAATATAAATATATATATATGCATGCATATATATAACTCAAAACATCATGAAAGAATGATACCTGTTTGATTGAAAGTTCGATATAGGTCAACATATGGATGCATCAGACAGTCAACAAATGTAGATTTCTTCTCTGTAGAAGTTCAAACTTGTTGTATGCTTTTTCATGCTGTGGACTAGCAGATGAAGGATCTGAAGTGCAATCAAATGCCAATAAATGGGCATAAAGATTTGGAATCTACCATTCTGTGTGTTTGTGGTGGCTTTCGAAGTCTAATCACAACTCACTTCATGTTAGCCAAGCAGGAATTCCCAAAGATACATGAAAGGAAATCTTCCATGATAGCAGCAGTCCAATCCATCTAATCTAATCCAGAGATAAAGAGGATGTGCCCCAATCATTTTGAAGCTCCGGGGTGGCTCCACATCCCACTTGGGCATTCACAGTACATGCAAAGAGAAACCCCCACAACTCCCATCTCTCCCCTCTTCTCTTTTGGCCTCACTCGGAGGACATCACTAGTGACTTCAGCTTGGAGATGCCCTCTCTGGTGGTCCTAAATTTGGATCTCTCTTCCGACAGCACTATCAGTTATCAGTACCTTGAGAACACCACTAAAGTGTGCAGGAGCAGCACAGGCTCATCATCCATATTGACATTGATGTGGGTGTCAAAACATGTAGAAAGCGGTTCTCAAAACTCTGATGTGCTTGAACTCTACAGTAGACATTACTGTGTACTCCTTCCTCATCTTCTCTCTTTCTAGATGGTGTCTCGGTAGTGAACACATTGTTGTGCATGATACAACCAAGATGAAAGCAAAGCATTGTTATGAAGCTAATTTGACTTGTAGGACTCATAATAACCAATAATCGATTGGACTTTGGCATCAAAGCAAGAACTGTAACTGCTGCTTGAAAAAGATTGCAGAGTAAGACCTCAATGATATACTTTCTGACTGCATCAAACTGGTTCACATGCACTTAGTGAGCATAGAATGTACTGATCCATGAATCGTGGCTTTTATCAAGTCCTGATCTGCCAATCTGGCCGGAAGGACACAACCAACAGGACTTTACTTCACTGAAGGAGCCAATGAACGGAGAAGGGTAGCAGAAACAAGGCCAAGATCTTGTTTACATGATCGAAAATTCTGATGGTGTTGTTGATAGGGTGCAAGCAATTTTGTGAAGGCCATGTGGTACCGGGAACTTAATTGTGGTGGGACACATGAAAAGACAGAAGTAACTTTGATTAGGTGGCCACCTAAATGGAGCAAATGTGGATGCAGTGGGATGTTGTTAGGGTTTCCAAGCTGGTAGACGACGGTGGAAGAGAGCAGAGATAAAGACAGGGATTGTACAGTTTTGTGAAGGAACAACTGCAGGATGGCTCAGGCATGCATGACTAAAGCAGAAACTTCTGCGCAAGTAGGGCAGGGTGGAGAGATATAGATGGATCTAGAGAGAGATTTAGTTATGCACAGAAGTTTAAGAGTGGTAGAACCTTTAGCTTTTGGATTGTAGGGTTTGTTGTTTTGTGTGTCAGGACCCCATGACTTGGTCATCAACTTACTATTTCAGCTGGAACCTATGCAGAACAACAGATACCTGAATACCCAAAAGCTCAAAGCTGCTATTTATGTGCATCCTAGAAAAAGGAGTGAACAAACTCACTGAAAGATACTTAACATCGAACTTGCCAGAAAGGACTCACCATGTGGCATGTAAGGACAGCCTTTGCATACACACAACTCTGCAGCGAGGAACAAATGTTAGGGTTCTATTTTTACCCTTACCACTCTCCGCAAGGAGCATGAATCACTGCACCTCACATGGAAGGACGGAGAGGTTTTGAACCTCATCAAAATCTCGATAAGCTTTGTTGGAAGATGATCGATCTAATTTGGAAGAAAAAAGGACCTTGGGGTTGGTTCATTGGAAAGAATAGGATCTTCATACCTGACATGGGAAGTATTTATGCTTTCCAGAGAATGAAATGGGTTGGGGATGGGTCATTAAACGTAGGAGAAAGTTGCAGGAGGGGAGATAGGTAGTATATGGCAGTCATTAAAAGAATCTTCACCTAGCAAAGTAAATCACCCAACAGCTTCAGGACCACCTCCACTTAATGTACTGGCTGATACAAAGAAGCCAACAGGTTTAAAGAAACTGCAGGGCAAACAATATCATGGAGTGTCACACTCAGAGAGAGTCCCACCCCCAGAGCTTGTCACGTACACATCTTCCATCTTGACTGATGGTTACACATGCATGGAAGCCACAGCGAGAGAAAGAGAGAGAGAGAGAGAGAGAGAGTGCCGTGATGTTGTTGTTACAGCACTGCTTGGTTGTTCTTTGAGAAGCCAAAAGCCTTGTTCATAAGAGAGCCATTCTGTCATTTAACCTGTTGAAGAAGAAGAAGAAGAAGCAGAAAAAACGATCTCAGCCCTTGCTCTGCATCTCACGCTAATGGGAAGGAAGAACGAGATCAACCTCCTATCCTGAGAAAAGAGAGAGAGGCCTGCAGTAAATCTTCTTCCTAATTCCTTTCTGCTTCTCTCCGTTTCTCTCACTTCGATCCTCAAATCTAGGACGGCAAGATCTCTCTGCATCGCTCTCCTTCGTCACCAACTGGTACTCTCTCCCAAGATCTTGTGTTCTCCAAAGCTACTAAGCTTACTACACACTTCCGACGCAGATGGGTGGGCGCGAGACCCGCGACTTCATGAGTGTGGACGCCTTCTCCCAGCTCCCGTTCTTAAGGCCCGCCCACGACAAGCCCTCCTCCAACGCCTCAGGCATCCGCCTCTTTGGCGTCGAAGTACCCCGCGAGCCTCACGAAGACCCCCGCGAGCCTCACGACGCCGAGGAATCCTCCAAGGACCTCACCGCCAACACCAACACCGGCGACGGCGGGGGCGGTGGGAGTGAGAGCGGGCGCCGGTTCGAGTGCCACTACTGCTGCCGCCACTTCCCCACGTCGCAAGCCCTTGGCGGGCACCAGAACGCCCACAAGCGCGAGCGCCACCACGCGAAGCAAGCTCAGCTGCACCCGGCCATGGTGGCATCGCTCCACCACCAGCCATCCGCTCTCGACGGCCATGGCGTCTATGGATTCAACTACCACCACCAACACCTACACCACTGCCGTCTTGGGTTTGATCCCGCTGCCCCTCCCCACTACTCTCCATGGCGCACCGGTGCCAGCGTCGGCGCTCGTTTCTTTATGGGGCCTGGTGCGGCGGCGGCGCCGATCACCGGGAGCCCATTGATACGGAGAGTTCCGGCGGGCGTGCATGGCGGCGGACGCACGGGTTTGATTCCTAGTAGTGATGGGGTGATGCCATTGCCGCTGATACGAGAAGATGTAGCGGGCGTTGGTTGGAGTGGTAATGCTGCTATTTCTTCTTCGTCTTCAAGTAGTCAATTTGCTTATGAGTCGATGCAAACGGAGACCGTGAGTTTGGATTTGCACCTGTAACATGAAATCGTATATATATAAATATATATTCTTTGCTTCCATCGTTCTTTCTATTTATTTATTTTACATAATTAACTTAATAAACAAGAAAACAATTAAAAAAAAAAACTCTACAGCCATACCACATGAGAAAATTAATTATATTAAAATATGATCGATCACTCATACTGGAATTTAATGCATCCAAATATGAAAGTTACTGTTATTTCTAAACCATCATGGGTGATGAGAGAACTTTTCCTTTCTTTTTGTTTGAGGAAATAGACATGATAAGGGACATTGATGTTAGTGCTAAAAGTTTAAGATCAGTAGCAGGAAGGATGCAATGGAGCTAATTTCATGACAACAATCATTTTGGAGTACTGACAAAAAGAAAAAAGAAAAGAAAAAAAAAGAAGATTGATTCCCGTCAGGTGATGCTACTGCATATGTTAAGACCTGTGTTCTACTGTTCCATGTCATGCACATAATAATTTTCCCAGCCAATAATCCAATTTTTCTTCTAATTAGCTTTACACAGAAGCTAAGAAATCATTTCAGTGGGTGGGCACACCGAGTAGTACAATTGTCTACAAATTATCATCAAGCCCCAGTACCAATATCATTATTGCTGTCATCACACACTGGGACAAGATTCACACTTTTTATAAAAGGGATCTCACTGGGGCACTGATGAATTATAAGAAATCCAAGAACATGTATCTATCTTTCTTCACATGGATTAGTCTAATATAATTGGGACAAAATTTCATGAGTTACATTCCTCTAAGCTTCTGGTTTTTAGCTAGACCAGGAACAATAAATGGCACAAGCATGCAGCCTTGCAGGATTTGGACTTACATTCTCATGAGGTAGATAATGTTGTTTCCAACCTGCAATAAATGAAAAGTCAGGTTAATCCAACAGTCCTACCAAACATCAAGTTGCCTATCGGAGTCCACAGCTATCTATTAATGTCCTCAGAAACAGATGCTTAATAGTGAATAACACAGCAAGGTGTTGAAGAAAGGAACGTCCTCTTGTAAAACCAGAAGAGATGAAGACCACTGCCAACTCATTTCTCCATGGCCCCATATCCACTTTGAAGGACAAAAATTATTGCAGTCCAGTTCCAAAGCTTGACAAAGAAATCAAATATTGGAATCATGCATGCCAGGCCAAACAAACAAGAACAGTCATGGGGTGCATTCAGATCATGCAATAAAAGTTCAAGAATTTTGCAAGAAGTGTAATTTATTCTCCTTACTACAGATTAAAAAGATGAAATATCAGGTCCAGTTCACTTTGTTGTACCAGCTGTATGGTTTGCATCAAAAAAGATCGACATCAACTGAAATCATGACATATGTAGCAAGTAAAATAATAATTGTGTCAATGTAGGTCCAAAATGTTATCAGACAAGAACATCAAAAGGTGTTCAAATAAATAGTTTCTCAGCACGATTCCCATTTATGAACTATAGCTAGCCTTTCACTACAACAGTTGTTATCACCAACGTTTGACACGCCAACTAGCCTCTACCATCCTCATCATGACTACATTTAGGATTTGAACCTGCTCACAGACCAAAACAAACTGATCAAACTCTGAATCCAGGTGTACAACACCTATTAAATCCTCCAATCTGCTAGACCAAACTAGCAATGATCTTGCTTGAACAATTCAAGTGGCTATTTGGAAGTCATATGGTAGAATCTCTAGAGAAAACTCAGGATCTAGCAAAGGCAACTCATTCTTTGAATGTTGAGGTGGGGAAATAAACCAACCACAAAGTTGACGCGTACCAACGATGGAGAATATCCATTCAACAAACTCTGCTACAGTTTGACCAGCTCATCTGTCACATCACCATCAAATCAAAATGGACAATATTTTCCCCAACGATCGATATGAAAAATTTTCCCTAACAATATTTTTCCTAACTTGAGCATGGGAGAAGAATTCTACAGGGCAAATTCTTGGGTGCTCTATGTTTCTGCAAGTCAAAACTTCCTAGTCTGATACTTCTATCTATTGCTTGTTGCACTCTGTTCTCCAAGGCATTCTAGATGATCAGTCGAAAAGTAATCAAGAATTAGAATTAAGATAGGCCTGACCAAGTCAGATCATGATAACACTTGCAGCAAGAAACCTACACCTTACCCACTAAAGAAGAAACTTAAATGACAACATGCTGGGAAAAGACTCCAGTGTAAATTTATCTAAAACAAAATAAAGATCCTCAAGAGTGCTCCGAAACCAATGGTCAGGTAAATTGAGTAAAGAAACTGTATGTTCATAAGGCATGTTGTAGAATTCTGTGAATAGAAAGGATAGATAAATCGAAACTAGTATCTGAGGAGCAATTCAAATCAAAGAGAAGAACAAAGTTGAATAGATATTGTGCTGACTTGGTATTTTACATCTTCCAGATACTTGTTAAACGATAATATGAGTGTCTTTTATTTTTTGCTAAAATTCGGCCAGTTCATGATGAAGATGTTAAGATCTTCATGAGCTCCTGTAGAAACAACAACATTGGCTTTCCAGAACAAGTCTTTTGAAGAAAATATATTCCAAGTGCTAGGAATGTCAATACTATAGTAAGCAACCAAATTTTCATAAACAATGATAGAGGTTTGGAGGAAAAAAGATATACCACAACCACTCGATTTTCATTTTTACAATCCGAAACAAGAAGCACAAATTGGACACACCAACCAAAGAATATATGCTAAAATTTTTGGCAAAGATTATTTATATCAACCACAATTGCTCACACTTTCACAGCTGGAGCAGCAAAGTCTAACGAATGCAGCATACCTGCTGGATGAACTGCATTAAAGGAAAGAAAATCTTGCATCATTTTTAGAAGAAAATAAGCAGTACTCTTCAACCTTTATTTCCTCTTTCGAGCAAACCTGACCCTGAGCTGTACTTAAGTTGGAAATAAATCCTTCCATACCTCCATCTTTCAAAGACGGTAGTTTAACATTAAATCCAGCAGTAGTTCCAGCCATTGGACCACCAAAGTGAAATAAAGAGAAGGATGGACTCTCATTATGTGATTTAACACAATGTTCAGCATTGTTATTTTTCCCTGCAGATGGTTTTGATGGGAGCTGTCTATCTGAAAATGACCTTCCAGGAAAACACTGACTACCTATTGGTTCAACTGAAGTGTGCAACTGCTGAAACCTACAGGAGTTGGAAAGCTTGTTTTGGAATTTTGAGTTTCCAACATTCATTCTGTCAGTTGTCTGGTACAAGAATTGCTTGCTTCGGTCAAAAACAGGAACAGTCAATGGTTGTACATTATTGCAATGCATGCTGAAATCTGATGGTCTATTTGCCGGCAGACCATAGCTAAGATGACTTTGGAGCAAACAGTGATTTGCCTGAGGAAGTGGCACGAATCCATTACAAGGAGGAGCTGACCACAAACCTACATTTCTGGTATGGTAGCTCACAGTTGGTGAGGGAATAAATGGAACATGTATACTATGGTTTGGCACTGGAAGCATATGATTCAGTGGAGGAGCCACAACAAAACCAAATCGTCCATTATTTGAGTCTTGGCCAGAACTTGAGTTCTCTCCTGAAAAATCACATTCTACATGGTTCTCAGCTGGAAATCCAGCAGAACTATTTGCCAAAGAACCATCTCCATTTGTCATAATCTTGTCATCTGGAGATTCATCTAGATATCTATGGAAGGAATCACTATTATATATTGATGCATCTCCGCCACAAGATTGTTGGCAAGCATCTTCTGAATCTGAAGTCAAGGATGATTCTGCATTTTGAGGACTTGAAGAGCTGGTGCTGCCATCCCCCTCACTAGGACAAGAGAAGCAATTATCCGAACTAGAAGAGCTCCTTACTGGCTCAGAACAACTGATTTTAATGGGGCTCTGTTTTTCTTCTATATTATTGTTTGAATGATATTCTGTCCTTTTTACAAGGCCAAATCCATTCTGAAAAGCAGTGTTAATATTAGAACCAAACTTGTCTGAATTATCATGATCTTCATGATACTGACAACTAATCGAAGTGTCAACTTTGCCTGAACACTCGGATGAGCACATATTATCAAATGACTCAAATCCAATAGGTTGATGATGTCCATTTTCACCTTTGTCAAACACAATCTCCTTCAAGGGTTCAACCCCACTAACAGTTCTCAAGGTGTTCTTAGAATCAGGATTGCCTGTAGAGCACTTTTTCCGTGCAGCCAGTGGCTCCCAAATCTGCTTTGTATGGAGAATCTCTTTGCTTGCAGTATCAACAACATGCTTTGTTTTCATACTGCCAAGATTATCAGGCAAGTAACAGCCATTACCGTATTTGGCATTCCGATAGGAACACCTAGGCAAATCCATCGCACGTTCTGTTTTACTGACAGTCTTGATCTCCCTACCCAATCTAATCATAGAAATGTGATACCCATCCTTTTCGCTGTAATCATCTTGTTGACATCTACAAGACTGAAGGTCAAATTTATCTCGAACTCTAGAATGTGAACAGTGAAATTTGAGATTGCATTTTCGATGATTATTCTTCACAAACCTTTCTCTTGGTGGCCTGCGCAAGCCATTTATGCCCCTAGAAGAACATACCCTGGTATCAGCCTCCTCTTGTTGATTGACACACTCATCACTAATATAACATCGACGTCTATCATACCAGTTGGATGCCTGATCAAAAAGATAATCTTTCCTAGGTCTCAATTTCCGGTTCAATGATTTTGAACACTCGGATGCATTCCTGTTATAAAATTTTTCATCAACATCGGTTTGCTGTGGTAGAGCATCAGTCATGTAAATACTTCCACATGAGGATAGTTCATCAGCAATATCAGGAGAAACAGGGCATTCAAGCAGAGAAATATCTCTTGGTTCACTAACAAAATCTCCAGAATCAGGAATGTTAATTGATTCACCATGAGTACTTGAGGATGATCCATTTGTAGTTGCAGGAAAAACATCACAAAGTGACTTTGATTCAATAAGCTTCCTTTCCTTCCCTTTCTCTTTTAGCCTCTCTTTTCTTCTAAGCTTCTTTTCCCGTTCTTTTGTCCTCCTCCTCTCCTTACGCTCTTCTTCTTTGTTTTTCTCTTTTTCCTCTTCCTCAAGAAGTCTAGTCTGAAAGATTATTAGATGAAATTAAAATGTAAAACAATGGCCACTTCACATAACCTTCCTGCCATTTTAAAATGGAAAATTTTGGTTTTAAATTTTAATTGAATAGCCCAGCAACAACAGCATACCTGCTTTTCTAATGTAATAATTTCTTTACAAGCAACATGAATCCGTTCTTCCAGCAATTTTAGCGCAAGACAAACAAATATACAGTGTGCATTTTGCCGTGCTGTACCTTCTCTGAAAGCCTTTTCCACCTGGGAGAACATAACCTGTTAGTTACAAAGTGATGCTTGGTCTTTTCATTGTATGCATACGAGAGAATTGGTACAATACATGATTCATGTTTTCCCTCTCTCCTTTCCAAGAATATACTTTTACTGGTGCTATCAAATAGAGCAGGGTCATAGCCACCTAGGATTCCAATTCATATCTGATATGATGAGCTATTGGATCCAGAAATATTATCAGGTTCACATTGGATTATCAGGTCCAATGAAGATTTATGTTCAAGCTATAACTAAGAAACACAAAGATAAAAGGCCTTTACTGTAATACAGCCTAATATAAACACAAGGGACTTGTAATACTACAAAGTTATATAACTCGTTCCACCAGATGGCTCTTGAAAATCATTGATCAACAACGTGACAGATGCAAGAACCACATTGTCTGAAGTAATAAAGATAAACACACACTGTACCTGCTGCCATGAATAACATTATCACTGCATTTTTTTTTTTTATTCATAGACGCAAGAAACAACTTCTCTTTGACCACTCTTCTCTTTATTTATCATATCCTTGATTTTTTTTCATATTTTGCAACCCTATGTTTGAAGTTGTTCCTGGAGTACCAAACTATTTTTATCCATGCATGCAGAAGTGACAGCAATAAATGAAGAGTATGTTGGTGTAAAATAAATGATATGTACAGAATGCTTTCTAGGTTGTGATAGTTCAAGTTTCAATCAGCACAAGGAATATTGCACCAACCTGTGTTGTCTAATACTTACTGGCACCAATTAATTTGCGTTATAGCTAGAATTTCTGACCAATTCAGGCAAGCAAGTGTGTTGATGTATCTTGCCAAGATGCATTATACCAGTCAAAATCCCCCGTGTCATCATTATTCAAAATTTGAGATGACGTGATGGTAACCTGAGTCCCAAATGTAGTTTTCATTACTATGTTACCTTGCTGGTGGTTTGCTAACCCTAGTCAGAACAGCATCCTAGAAATATAATTAATTGAAATTGCTGCATGCCAAATAAATTTATCATGGTAATTAAATAAAGGTTTCAGAAGTATATGACTAATGGAAGAACAAAACAACTATGGGCAGAACATGATGGTATGGCATCAAAATTAAGACATACCTGTTCTTTGAAAATTACAGTTGCAGCATCTAGAAGAAACTCCCTAGCAAGTTCAGGACTCTTAGCATGCTTCTGTGACCGGGAACCACCGCCATCAAGTTCATCTCCATCTTTATCCATTACATCATCATCCTTTGTTGCAGATAATCAATAAGCCAGACAAAATAGAATGTAAGAAAACTAAAAGAAATTTGGTGAATACGAATAGTATCATCACTAACAAATATCTTATTTATAAGCATTAACAAAAATCACATTCCCATGGCAAATACCTCTTCTTCCTCAGCTTCCTCAGCATGTTCAAAAAACCTTCTAATACTTTCCCCCACTGTTATTGTCACAAAACCATCACCTACTATAAGCCTGCGATGGACACAATGTTGTCCCTTGAGTGCATGAGCTTTTACACAGAGTTCAGTGCAACGACCATCGAGTTTCCAAGCTCTTAATGTAATAAAGCATGCACCTAAACCACCCAGATCAAGTCCAGTCACTTGGACCCTTCCGTTCATGCCTACATCTTCAAATTCCAATATATCTGTTTGTCCTTCACCAGTTCCAATTGCCCATTCAAAATGGTGATAAGTTCCAACTGTATCAGTAAAAGACTGGTGCCAGTCAGCTTGAACAGTATCCTCTGATACCTGAACATGTAAATATGTCAAAGTCATTTGGTACCTTGATTAGCAAAGAACATTCAAAGTTTTGATAATGAATTTTGTAACAGATCGCATTTGAGAAGAGAAATTTAACATTAAGATGACAATTTGGACGAGCAAAATAAAGATAACATTATCATCACTGATATTTCTCGCGAAGCAAACCTCATATTGGAAAGCTGAATCTGCAACACAAAACCACTTAGTGCAGCGAGGTTGCTTCCGCATGCGCTTCAATTCTTTCAACTCCTTGAATTCACGAACGACATTTCTTCTGCAATCTCTGCAAAACCTCTTGCTGTCAAACCTGTGGCATTGAAATTGAATTTACAACAGTAGTAAGCAAGCAAATGTTCAGAGAAGTGGTTGACTTATGCAGGAGGTCAAGGCTCTGCATAGTGCATGTATGTTCACATTTAAATATTGTAAATATTACTAAAGGAATATTAACAAGTATCAAATAAGAAACCATGAAATTCAGTACAAATAAACAGTAATATTAACCAACTATAGGATGAGATTCATTAAAGACCTATTTGAAGGATGAATAAAACCAAATGGGCAAATGTGTAAGAGGTAAATGCTATAAGGACCTATGTACAATGCCAAAAATAACAACAATAGTTAAGTAAAAAATAATCATATTATGAGGAACAAAAAGAAAAAAAGCAGCCGCATATTCTGCCTATGAATGCATGGAATTTGTAATGTATTCATATGAAGATGATTGGAGCCATAAAGTTGTAAATACACCGGTTCATAGCTTCCTCCTTTAATCGTCATATCCATTCAATTCATCTCTCTTCTTAGACTTTTTCAAGCTTCTTTTCTTTTGAAAAGTAACCACCTATTGCAAATAAGTTTCTGTGGCACATTGATTGGTATGTAACAGTTGGACCAGTAAATAACAACCAATACATACTTACCGGTGGATATCAACTGGTCAAACCAAGAACATGAGTCAGTATGTATTGCTGATAGCTGTAGATACCAGTCTATACAACCAGAAAATACAAGTTGTGCATACCGGACTAGACCAATAAATGTCACTTGATAGGTACCAGTCCAATAGGTTTTTAAAACCTTGGTTAAAACAATAAACTACAAGTTAACTGTGAGACCACTTCGAACAAAGCTGGCATGTTTATAACCTAGAGTGGTATAGAATGCCTGTGATGGGCACCAAGCCAGAGCAATTCTAGACTACAGAATCAACAATATTATGGGATTTAGAAAGTTGAAGATGATATGATGTACTTAGTTTAATCATCTTCACAAAATTTTCCAATACATCCTCCTTCCTTTATGTAATAAAGGCTAAGGTTAATAACTTCAATCATGGTATTACCATGCTAAAGTTCAAATACAAATTACCATCAAACTTCAAGAAGCCATTGAACTAGTTGAGCAACTACATCAATAGCAGTTAGAATACCCTTGTTAAATATTTACCCTATAATCATTCACTCTCTTTGTCAACATGACTTTTTCCCGATGTCCGTCCTATTTCACTTTCAATCTTCTGCAATCAAACACAACTTCAATTGTTTTATTGTTCAGTTACCAGCTATTTGCATCTAACATCACTCTCAATCTAATAACTAACAATTTTGGGGATAGAAGCTATCTGCTCTATTTATCTTTAAAAATTACCTTGGAGCCTATACAGACATACCAATACGATAAGCTTGATCTTTAAAGTTTTGTAGTTCAGTCTAGCAACAACCTCTTCTTTCCTCTTTTGGTTCAAATGATCATTATCCTTGCCAAAAACAACTGTCTGAGATTCTATGGTAGGACAGCATTCTTTTAGTTAAATACTTTATAGACCATATATGCATATAGAATGCTTATAGTAACTTAGTACCAACCACTACCTTTTTTTTCAGTTGATAGTAACTTATTAAGAATCATTATCCCCTATGAAAAAGATGTTCCCACAAAAGAAAACAAAATTAAGAGGAAAAATAATTCCCACCTGTACATAAGCCTCTCAATGAAATCTTCTTCCTTCATACGCAGGAGGGATGATCTAGTTTCCTCGCCCAGGGCAGACCAAAAATCCACAAGTGTATCACATGAAAGCCTTGCAGTATGCAAAGCACAGGTTTCTCGGGTTCCATGCCCTCTACCATAATTAGCCATCCCTTGGCTAATCCAACCCCTGCCTTCACCACCGCACGCGTCAGGGTAAAGCAATTCACGCTCATGTTCCCTAGCTCGAGCACTATCAAACACCTACACAACAACCAAAAATGGAAGAGTGATGCATTTCAACAATGTGATAATCAGAAAAGAAACATGGTAATGCAATAAGATGGATTATTAGTCTGCCACTTTGAAACTAATAATTTTCTTGGTAAGGTTAAGATCAACAAAGGAAATCTACCTACACCAAAAGACTATATGTAGAAAGGCAAGAAATAGAAAGATCAGATGTAGAAAAGAGAGAACCATACAAATTAAGGATACCTAAAAAGTTGGCAGAGCAGAATAAGCAAAAATATTGCATTAAGCTATAAAATTACATGTTTTAAAACACTAAAAAGAAGGATCAAAATAGCACGTATTACTTACATTCTGGAGTGTCTTCAGTGACCTTGCACATATGAAGCAGTCGAGAACTGTCAGAACACCATTCTTAGTCGCTGTCAGGCCTCCCCAAGGATGCAATGATGGATCCTGCACCTCATGATCATTTCTGTACTGAGATTGGCAAGTTCCTTCACTACCAAAATATCGAAAACTGGCACCTTCCTGCTGCAATGACTTTCCATAGGTGATAATCTGTGAGAAGCCTTCCAGAAGCAATCCGTTGCACCTGGAACAGTAGAGGTTCCTTCTAGCTTGTTCAAACAGTGTCTGTTTATCTAGTCTCAGGAGCTCCTTTCGTGTGTGAAGGGGTAGCTCGCTCCAGAACTAATTCATTTGCATTGATAATAAGATTAATGCTTGGCATACCAAACCATGTAAATTAATAAATGAATAAAAATAAATTCATCAAGAACAGAAAAGGCCTCATTGTTTATTAGTTGGCAAAACAACATAGGAGTCCCAAGTGAGACTTCTTTTATTTTCTTTGTTCATCGTTCACTTATATCTAAAAATGCAAGCCGGCCTGTTCAGCAATTAATATTTGTCAAACACGAGCATAACAGATTGTTGGACCTAAATTCGTACTGCCCAATATAAGCATACAGTGAACATATTAAGATATGCTGATAACCTCCTGTTTCGGCCCTGGTTTTTGTGTCATCTTATCGAAGCCAAAACGTAACTTGCTCCATATAAATTCCCGAACCATTCTACCCTCTCATCCAAACAAATGAAGATTTATCTCATGTAAAACCCCCAAAAATCAATCCACAACTCAGAAAAGGAAAGCAAAAAAAAAATAAAAAAAACCAGATCCAAATCAAGAACTATGCTCAAACAGACGTGAAGACAAATCGAGTCACCAAAACCGATCGATCCGAGCAATTACCTTCTGTAGCCGATCGAAGGTGATGCTATCGCGGTGCTTGGACCAGATGCCATCGGGCGACGCCGATCGGGCGGGCGCCGGGGCACTGCCGAGTTGCGCGCTCCTCGTCAACAGACCAGGCATCTTGTCTCGTTCCTCCCCTCAACAGCAAAGCCTCGCGGATCCGCCTCTCCTCAAGCTGTCCATCCCAGCCACCAGGGAATCCGAGTCAGACCGGACGCGAAAAGGCGGTCGTCGTCGGCAGCAGTGGCAGCGGAGCGGGATCTGAGGGCCGTCGGATGGGGATCGCAGGGATCGGCCGCGGAGGCGATCGGAACCGAGGAGGGAAACGCGTGGAGGGGGTTACGATGGGCGAGAGGGACGGTGAAGGGGGGGGGGGGGGGGGGGGGTTTCTCGATGTGATTTGATCGCTTTTTTAGTCGCTGGGTTAAAAAGGCGAAGGTTAAGTCCTCCGTTAACCGTTCCCGGTTATATTTCTCTTATGGCGGTGACATTTCGCTTCTTTGAAGGGGCGTTTCCGCAAGAGAAGACATTCGAGCGCACGAATATTAATCCCCTCCGTGGCGGCCGTAACAAGCGTCCGCGCGCAATGGTGCGAGTTCCACGTGGGGACCCACCGGAATCGAGGTGGCCCACGTTAGTCGGAGGCCGTGGCCACAGCACTGTCGATCACCAAGCAGCGGGCGCCGCACTAACGTGTTCCGCAAGTGAGGAGTGAACGTGTGCGATTAAAGAGATCTGCCGTCCGCTGCTTCCAGAGAAACTAATCAGACGGTGGATAGCGCGATGGCATATCAGGTTCTTGGATTTGATCCTGACCATCAGATTTGACAGGATGTAAAATAGATGGTTAGGATTGTCTTCGAGGGTGGGACCAGCCATGAGCTCTTTCTTTTGCGGAAGGCCCCTCTATGAAATAAATTATTACATAAATCTTCTTTAAAATTCCGTAAATAGAATGTTAACTGAAATGACTATTTTAACCTCCTCCACGATAGTACTCCTCTTCATATACTTGAGTGTGTTTTGGTCATTTAAAAGTGCGGCTCCGAAAGGTCACCTCTGAAAGAATTTTCCACCTGTTTATTTTTACTCGCTCGTTCAACCCGACGTAGCGGCCTAGAAAGATGGTGTAGAGGTAAGTCCCTGTGTGCCCCATGCGATTTCCAATTATGAGACTGGTAAGTTCTAGGGTGACGTTCTTATCGTCGGAAGGAGTAACCCGGATGGGGCATTAATTCCTTGAAATAATTTCGCCACCCGCACCTGATGAAATAGAACAGCCTGGCTTATCATAGTTTCAATCTTAATCATAGAAATGATTTGATAGATATATCGATAATTATATATTCGTTGTACGTATTACAGCTTAATAAGATTTGGGTCAAATTCCACCATTAAAATGATTGGAATTCTTCCAAGCACCCATCAATTATTGTGGACTCCAAACAATCAATTGAATTGAAGAGGGTTTGACCAAATGGTCTGACTAATTGAGCCCGAATTGTTCGATTAGTGTAATTGGAAGCCAGTTGGCGACTTGGTATGAAATGGTCGAGTCCAGTCATCTCAATCGAGTCGGACCTGAGTCGCGACGCGGCGCGGCCGAATCGCTTCGTGGAATGCGATCAAGACGCGAATGGATCGTTCTCGACTGAGACCTAAATAGACCCGAGCGGAGCCCTCTCGTGGCAGCCATAGCAACAGCCATGGAGGAGCATCGAAGACGAGCGGAGCTCGCCGGCCCCCTCGAACTTCTCCCTGCCGTCGACTTCTGCTGCGTCTACGGCTCCTCTCTCCTCCCTAACAACAGTGACAAGGTCGAATCGCTCCTCTGTCTTCCTCTCCTCCGCCTCATCCGACGCCTTCCTGTTGCTCCACTGATCCCCATCTGTTCGCATGTCCTCAGACCTCCATGGTGGATTACATCTTGGGCGTCGCAGACCCCATCCAGTGGCATTCCGAGGCAAGTGCTTCATTTCTCGATGATCTTCTCTCCGAATCCGCAATGAATTTAACTTACATGATTGTGATCGGATCCAACCACAGAATTTGGAAAGGAACAGGCACCACTACTCGAAATGGATGGGGCGGCTTGGCCCGTCGGCGGTGAGCTTCTCTGTCGATTACTTTGGTTATGGTTGCTTGAGAATGAAGAAAAATGAATTCTTGGGATTTACTTCAATGCGTTGGGTTTATGTTTTCTGTTTGCTCAGATCAATTGGGTTGCATATGGGATTGGCGTCGGTGTGCACTTTAATCCGTTTGTGGAGTGGAAGGATAAGGTTTGTGTAGGTTTTAATTCCAAGCTTTTCCTTTACAGTAATTTGGTATTTGGTGTTGGGTTCGTATGGATGATTCAAGCCTGGTGTTCGGATGCTTAGCAGATGATAAAGTATGGAGTCGTGCAGATGCATGATTTGGCTATGGACGTACTGACGTGGGACAGGTTCTACCTGAGCGGCCGTTTGCAGAAACCTGTATGTCATTGCTTGAGGTGGTGCTTGGTTAGATTGAGATTTGCTCATTATGAATACCTTGATGTCCATTTCATTTTCTCTGTGGTGTGAGCTTGCCGTATTTCTTGATAACGCCCTTGTTTGGGCATTGATATCTCACATGAATACGATCATATTGTATTGCCCACTACTACTTTTCTGAAGATCTAGACTAGTCACATTGAAACTAGAAATGCCAAAGAAAGCACTAATAAGTATCCTTGCTGATCTTTTAGAAACCTAAGTTAGACCCTCATTCTTTTGTTTTGTGGATCTTTTATTGATTATTGTTCATTCCAAACAGTCAACACTCAAGATCTTATGTATTGGCTCTTTATTTATATGATGACCACAAATGGAATTTTTCATTTTGTTGAGTTTATGACACTTCTCAAGAAAAATGTGATGCAAGCAACTACTTTTGCCCAAGACCTAGTTTTTTTGTTTTCTTATGCTATCTTGTTTCTTTTGAAATCTTGGCAAAAGAAATTAAGGGTTTTGTTGGAGTTTCACATTTATCTCCGGCAATTGAGAATGTAGAAGAGAGATGACGGTTTTCTTACTTGCAAATCCGGTTTTCCTCATGGATGTGGCTCTCATTGGATTTAATTTGCCATCTTTTCTTAAAGAAATTCTGTAGTGTATTTTCTTATAATATTGTTGGTTATGACTCTTATGTTTTAGCCCTTTGCTGAGGCTGATGAGAGCACTCCTCAGTTATGCTACATAGTTCTTTACAAGGAAACTTAGCATGTCCTGAATCTTAAGTAACTTCTTTCAATGTGCTCTGGAGAACTCCAGGCTAGACTTTGATTGTGTTTACCTTACAGCTCGTCTCCACATGTGACTTGGTCCACTATATGCAGCTGCAGAGAAACATTTTCTGGCTAGCCTTTTAAGCACTGATTAAATGTAAATTTGTCTACTTGGATAACTATTCAATAACTTCAACTGTTCCTTTTTCCTTGGAAAAACAAAATCAGATTATGAATTTTCAATACTTCAACAACTATGTCCAAGTATACTGAAACTAACAGTTAGACACTATTTTCTCCTTTTCATAACTTATTTTTCTTTTTCTTTCAAGCTTAGTACCACACAATTGTATTTTTCTCATAATGACATGATTTATTCCAAGTTTGACGATAGCTTTGATACATTTTGATACACATAAATTTTGTTACTGGGTTGCTTGAAATGTTTTGATTTATTGGGTAGGTCTACTACGTTATTATGCAAATGGTTTTACAAGTTTTTTATATTATTTCTTAACTGTTTAAATTTTTTATTGTTCATTTAAGAGTATAATGCATCCAAAAGCTACAGTACAGTGAAGGGTAAACTACCTACAGTATAGTGAAGGGTAAACTAGGAAGAGTTAGTGGACTTTGATTAGATCATATCCATTCTTGTTCTTTTGCATTTACTTTATATATCATCTGGTTCTTTTTTTTTTCACATTAAAATTCATTCTCAGCTTTATGTTTCTTTTTCTTTTGATATCAACTCCTATAAACCCTTTTCTCTTTGTTCTCTATCCAGTCACTATGTTTCAGCAATTATCTTCTAGAAACAGAGCATCTAGATGATGTCTTGGTGCTAGTTGTGACAGTTCTCTATTTTGCCATCTTTATGCTTTTGTTATGCATATTCTGGGTTATATTCGTTAATTTTTTCACTATTTAATTTTATGGGACCTTTTGTGTTTTGTTCATTTTCAGATGCATAAACTTTCACCAGTTTTGACAACCAGTTGATCAATATTTTCTTATATATGTTTAAAGTAAGTAACAAATTGGATAGGAAAGAGAGACGATCACTATTTGCCCGTTGCTTCATGCCTTTTCTTTTCTTTTCTTGTAACCTGTGTTTGTTTGTCTCCGTAAAATTTGACTAGTGCTAGTTAGCATGATAGTGTCAAAAGGTAGTCAGTGCATCTCAAGTGGTTAAAACCAGAGGGCCTAAGCTACCTCCTTGGTTGGAGCAAGTAATGGGTTCACATCATGTCTACAGCGAATTTCGGCTGGTAATATTCTTGATATGAGGAACCAACTGTGAGGCTTGTGTGCCAAATAAAATATATTGAGTTTGAACAGTGGTAAGACATTCTGCATGAAGATGAATTAAGGGGCCAAATCTAGTTATTTGAGGTTTATTTAACCTAAATAGAAGGGGCAGAGATAAATAAGAATGTAGTGCAGAATCAACAGAAATAACATTTTGGAAGAGTGTGGTGACGGTTTACGTATGGAAGTGAAACTATAATCATCTTTGCGAGGTAGGTCCATTTAGGAGTGTTCTCTTTTCCATGTCTATAGTACTTATATGACAAGCTGCATATGGAAACAATGGGGTTGGCATCATGAAAATCATCATATATAGTTGTCAACAGATGATAGAAGCAAGGATTCTAATTTCGAATTATACCGCCCATATTGGGCGGTACGTACCGATCTGTTGGGGACCGCCCGCTACCGGGCGATACCATTGATCTAGCCCGGTATCGAACAGTAACGGTCGATTTCGACCGTCGTCGCTCGCTACCGAGCGGTATCAGCCTAGCTACGGTGAGGGAAGAAGAAGCGTAAAGGGAGAAGAGGGAGAAGACATTCGAAGAAGAGGGAGAATCGGGAGAACCTCGATGCTTCCTGATCCGACGCTGCCCTCCTTTGACGATCCTGATCTAGGAGATAACGGAGAGGTGGCGACTTGGCTTCTTCTTCGCAGCGTTCTTCGCCGAAGGCCGGAGACGTTTGCGACCTTCAACATCTTCGTCGAACGCGCAGATGAGGAGAAGACTGCGTTCTTCTCCTCGTCTGATGCGACGAGGAGAAGAAAAGGAGGCGACGTCGCTGAGGCAACGTTCGCCTCCTTTTTTATTTATTTTTAATATTTTTTTTAATATTTTTATATATTGATTTTTATAATTTTTATTATATATATATATATATATACATATATATATATATATATATATATACATATATATATATATATATATATATATATATACGTATCGAGTGGTACAACTTGGTGTATCATACTGTACCGAGCAGAGCTCGATACGTTGGTACAATACGAAATTACGAACCTTAGATAGAAGTATATATGATCATTTGTATTGTTTCGTAGTGATGTGACTCATATTAACCAATGATGATAGAGTCTGACTGACGCAAGGATGCTTGACTAGAGAACTTGCCTAGGGTTTTAAAGACGTGTTTTTCTTTTCTTTTGCAATAATCTAATAAACATTATTTCATATACCTACATGCATGATTGTGCTTGGTCGTATCTCTTTAGACAGTCCTTTTTATCAACTTGATGTGTACACTGATGTTCTGCTTATCTCTAAGATGCTTCATTTTATTTATCTTTATATTGTTTAGTTTCATGTTTCTTACAGGTTCAGGTCCTAATTGATAACTGGGATATGCAAAAGGTTAACTTGATTAACCTGAAAGCAGCAACTTCTGCTTCATTACTCCTTTTACCAGCTAAATTTAGTGAGGTGTACTTTCTGTTGTTAACTGTGATCTTACAGTTTCTTATAGGGGATTGTTTTTCCACTTGCCTATTGGATTACCTAAATTTCTTATTAAAAGTTTCTTATGATTTAGGAAGATCTATATGCTAAAATCTGTAGTCTTTCGTACATGGGTGATTTGCGAATGCTGTTTGCAGAGGACAAGAATAAGGTCAGTAAACTCACATCTGACATGGTCACTCAGACAGTGTTTCCCTGCCTGATCCACCAAAGAATATATGCTACTATCTAAAGCAATTTTATGATGGTTATCTGTTTCAGCTTAGCTATATATTTGCTATAAGCAATTATCTAATATACGTAAACTACTGTATGTTAGTTTGAAATTGGAGCTTCAGCAGGATGTTTGATTTCATTTTTCATGGAACTGGCAATTCCTCACTAACATACTAATAGAATTGCATTTTCATTATGTATTTGTCTAGTGAAAAGATTGACCATTACGTACCTTTTTTTGTTCAATTCCTCAGATAAGCAAATTGAATTGGAAAAACAAATGCAACTTCTTATTCTGTAAAACATCATTCCATCATGCCTGTCTTTTTTTGTGTTTCATGTGGTGAATCAACAGGTAAAGAACATTGTCCGTGGAAGTTTTACATCGTTTCAGTCCATGTATAAGCCATCACTACAAGAGTTTGCGGCTGAAGGGTTGCTTCAGATTCCTTCTGCTGGTCATGAATTTGAACAGGTTTCTTCATTTCCTGAAGTTTTGGCAAATGATCTAATGAGTTTGTACATTATAACTTGGTTAACTTATCTACCATGTTCATAGATTGAAACTGACACATTATTTCATGGTAAAATATGATAAACATTTTGGTAGGACTGTGGTTTATCAGCGACAAGGAATCATTTCTTCTCTCTTCCTTGGACCATCCAAAGACGTTTAGGAATGAAGCATGAGATAGATGGATCAGGTATGACCCTCGTTCTGATGATGGTAAGATTTGGCTATGAGCCCATGTGAAACCGTGATCAATTCCTATTGTAGGAATCACAAAGCCCCAGACCATCATTACTTCTAGAGAATTGGCTGCTAACCGTGTGACCAAAGCTTTGAGACGTCTTGTAATGATATCGAGTGCAAGGCAGGCAATGTCTGGATTAGCTGCTACTGGCGGAGTGGCTGCTGCTCGTTATCTCGCAAGAAAAATATCCAAGGCTTGGAAGTCCAGAACGTCTTGACGTTAGATTTCCATCTGAAGGTCTTTTTGTTGTGCATTTGGTTGATTAATGCACAATAAAGTTCCCGATAACGAAAGATGATAAAGGTAGCAAACACTGAGAAGCAACGAGATGTTGTTTCAGTAGACTGCAACAAGATATCAAAGGCGTGGAAATCCAGGACACCTTGAGCTTCTCTCTTTTTGAAGGACTATTTCCTTTTGTTGCTTCGGGTAGAGTAGTTCTTTGTGATCCATTGGTCATCTGCAACTGGCGAAGGAATGTGATGAGGAGATAAGCATTGTGCACGCAGCGGTAAAGAAGGATGAGGTATCTGTATTTATAGAATCGACTGTGTTGTAATCTTTTCTATTACATTTGGAAGGAACTTTTTTCTGAAGTCTTATAAGAAATAAAAGGGAGGGAAGGAAAGTAAATCTTGTATTATGTTTGGCTGAAACATTTTCTTTGGTCAACGAGAACTATGTAGCAAGTGTAAATCTTTCGTGTCTGGACTAAAGAATGAAACAAATGTAGCATAGGAGATTCGATTCCTGTTAGTGTGCGGAAAGGGGTAAAAGAACAATAAAAAGATAATAATAATTATATATTATCTCTTATAGTTAGATTTTTTTAGTAGAGTCTTTAAATTTAAAAAATTTATATTTGGATTCCTATAGTTATCAAGGTGAAATATCTAGTTTCATTTACATTAACGTCGTTGATTTTACTGATGGAAGTATAAAAATGATAAGTAAAAAGATAATTTTAATTGGGCGACAAGTGGTTGTTGTGATCGAGGGACATCAATGGTAAAAGTTGAGGCAAAGGGAGAGGAGGAAGAAGACGACACAGATGCCGACCTTATGTGTCTACGTCTATGTCGCTCGGCAATTGCGTTGGCAACTTTGGGCTTCACATTCAACGACCTGGGCGATTTGTAATACGATAGTAGTGATTAACCTTGTAGGCACTTCGGAGAACGCCTCTGGTCGTCAGAGTACCACCCAACTACCCCTTTCCACTATCGCATCATACTCTCGAAGCTTGATAGTGAACCACAACACAACCACGAGGACCACTCGTAGTGGTAGGGCTACGATTGTTTCTTGGAGTGAGTCATTGCTTCTATGGATCGTTGTCTGCTCCGCAACCCCATCCTTCGGCTCCAACTCAACAGGACGACCTCCACACTCTCAACCACCTTGGCCATCACTTTGTGATCATTTGTTGAGGATCTGTGAGATTCTTCTCTCGAGACATCGTCGTCGACTCGGAGGTGGAGAGACAAGAGCTAGAGAACGAGAATGTCACAGAGTATGAAGGGGAAGCAGTAGGATCGAGATCGTTAGAAGCACAAAGGGGGCGAACCCGTTGCGGACCTATGCCGAAGATATCACATCCAACTTCGAGGGAGTTGCAAGCGACACATGTGATCTAATAGACATGGCGAGTCATGAGGAAGTTGACGCTATGGACGAACGCGTCACAAGCCCAATAAAGGAAGGCCACGTTCGGCTCACAATAGATCGTCGCCCTTTCGCTGCCTTGCATTTATTTCAACGTCGCTCGATAACTGTGTCGACACCGATGTAGATGCAAAGCGGTATCGCTCTGCGTCGTCCTCTTCCTCCTGTCCCTTTGTTTCATCTTTCATCGTCGCTTTCTCTTCTTATTCACAATCACCACTCGTGGCTCACAATAGCGTTGGTGTTCACCACATCGAAAATATAATTGAGATATTAAAATTATATTTTTATCCATTATTTTTATGTTTTCGATAGTAAATTAAGACAAATGAAATTAAAAAGTTTCATTTTCATAACTATAGAGATTTTAATATATTTCTTTAAATCTATAGATCGGGATGCTAAAAATATCTAACCTAATGATAATATATAATTAGCAAAAAAAAAAAAGGTTAGAGAACAGACCGAATGAAATAAAAAAAGAGATTAGGGAATTCACGAATCGAGAGTAAACGGAGGTTCGAACTCTCCTTTAAGAACGCGGGAGAGGAGGGAAAATAGAAAGATAGATCGATAGATATAAACATGACGAAAAACCAAACAAAACCGTCGCCTGAGAGATTCGAACTCTCGCGGGGAAACCCCATGTACTTAGCAGGCACACGCCTTAACCACTCGGCCAAAGCGACGTTATTTTGATTTCTCTCATCAAATCAAATTATTGTTTAGATGTTTTTAGAAACACTAGATGACTGCTTCCCACTCGATGGGCTCGAGGTTATCCATGCATTTTCTCAATGACAACGGCATCAATCAATTCGATGGCCCTATGGACATAAAAAAACATCCTATTTATGGGCAGAACAATGAAGGTTCTTTTCTTTTGACCCCCGCTAGGACGACTCCCTGGAGATTATTTATTAGGGAAGATTGGTAAATGCCTTGCTGCTTTGTTGCCAACAGAATGATGTGGGTGATGTTGTCAGCTTACCATAACTATTTATTTGCTTTACAATTATCACAACCTTCTTCTTCCTGATGCAAGGAAATAAAAATCTGCATTTCCTAATAATAAATGTATGGAATCAGTGAAGGCTGCTGCAGAGGATACAGTGGATGGATTAAAAGTCACTATGGGCCACTCCCACACACATATTAGAGGGGAGAAATATCGAACACAAAATCATCAAAAACAAAAACAAAAACAAAATAAAATTGCAACCGAAAAAGAATGCCATACCACAGGCTTTATGAAGAAAACAGCAGCATAACATCCCACCTTAAAAAGTCCATATGAAACTTGACACCCAACAATTCAAACACCCAAGACCACAATAACTTGTCCAACTGGCACATGCACATCACAAAATCAAAGGAGCAGTTCAGAGCACATCAGGTTTGATTGTAAAAGATTAATATAGTTAGGTCACATTACAATTTGTTGTTGTAGTTAAGAACACAAAATTAATTCCGATCCATAGTGTTAGCTCATCGTGGCCAACACGAAACATAGAAGAGAGAAGCGAGAATTACTAAAGAACCAACCAACAAATGGATCAGTATTACCATAACCCAAAGTCAACAAATGAAAACAGACCTTGCGCTACATCCACAAAAAAAGATCTCCAGAAAGCAAAACCCTACACCTCAATTACACGGCATAAAATGACAGCCATCTCATACAACAATCAATTTATGTTCAGTAAATTACAGTGGCTCTCTGTAAGTATGAAATTGCTTTGATTACATTTCTATGCCTACTGGTAACATACAAGAGCAGATAACATGCCGAAGCATTATAATAATTAACGAGTGTTGGAAAAGGGAGATTTGGTATTAACCCAAATTGATCGGTTCAATTCATTTTGACACTCCCCAGTTCCAAGAGAGTTTTGCTAGTGGCAGTCAATGCAATTTTGTAAAAGAAACAAGTTAATAACTTATGAAACTCTAGCGTTCAGGTACCATTTGTGTCAGATTTGGATCCCATCTGATTTTCCTTTCGAGAGCTGCCACTTTTGCATAAACATGATGTCCGAGGTATTGATCCACAGTCCCTGACTACCCAGGGATGATCGGCCACATCAACTAGTGTCATCCTCTGCACTGGATCTGAAAAAAAGTAATCAATATAATTGAACTATAATTTCATTCAAATAATTAGACTTAACGGCAACTTTCACTGTTTGCATGCATTGGATCGAATAGCAAATTCTTTGTGAATTAAAGATTTGCAAATCATCCAACAGAAACATATATGATTGGATCACAAATGATGACTAAGAGAGCTACTTATCATAACAACATGAGCAGAAGTTACCACTTGCCTTTACACAAAAGTCCCTTTAGTAAATCCTTCAGCTCAGGATCAACTTCCTTGGGCAGATCCAATGGACTATGAACTATCTGAAATGTAGTGTACAAAGTGTATTGAGAAATTTACAACGTTCACAAATATCAAGAGCAGTAGTTGTAGGTTACCTTGTCATATGTATCTTTTAAACTATCTCCAACAAATGGGCAACAGCCTAATGTCATACAGTATAATGTCACACCAACAGCCCATATGTCAGCAACTTTACCATGGTAACTTGATCCTGTCAGAATATATCACAAACTTGGGGTTTAACAATTGCCCAAACTAGAGTAGTGATGAACTTCAAACTTTAAATAGAAATTGTGATCGAGATGAATAATAACCTAAACAGCATTCAGGTGCAGTAAAAACAGGGGTTCCAGGAGACCTGCAAAGGACATCATTGCCATCCTACAAAATAATGAGTCAAATCAAGTCAAGCCAATTTATAAAATCATAACTGCTACAATGAAAGATGAAATCAGTTTGACAAAGACAACAAAACAAATGATGTAAAAATTTCACAGGAAAAATATAGCTATGACAAGAGGTTCCATTTATTTAATACATAACAACAAACACTACTACCAAGGTTAGTAGCATTCTTTCTTTTTTTTCCTGGCAAAGCAAAGACCAATAAAATGGAAGTGGTGTGCAGGCAATCAGGCCACTGGTAGAGCATATGCGGTAAGCAGGTGCATGTATGAATGCAAGAGAGGTCCCTGTTCTGAAGTCTTTAGTAAGAACGAAAATTAAGAAAATATTACGAAACTAGTGATTAATGAGAGAACCAGTTTGGTAAAAAATGGAAAAGAGAAACATGGGCAACAGAGGATGGTCCAGAGATATATGGGAATGCAGCAAGGTGTGTAGAGAAAAAGACAGCAGCAAGATTATAAAAGTTTCAGGGAGAAGGTGAAGATGATCAAGAAAGCACATAGCTTTAAATTGAATTCCGTGATTGCTTTTCATTAGTCAATAGTTGACGCTTGCAGCTACTTGCCACCAAAGGAAGAGAGGGAGAAATGGAGAGAAGGTGAGAACATGGAAAGAAATGGAATATTTATCAACCACACGCATATGCTAACAACTAAACTATCTGAACCACTTTTTGGTTTCAGGAACCATGTTTTCTTGGACCACAGTATACTGGAGTGCAAGTATAGTAGCATGATAGTATCCAGTATAGTTTTTACTCATCCCCTGATAATTTAGGCAGAAGACATATGAATATACTCGAAAGGAGACAAACATCGTTGGATTTGGAGACATACAACAACATGCTGTAATGTTCTAACTATTTGGATTTGGAGATATGTTCAAAATATATTTTTAATTACTAGATTGTCAGTCAACTAATGTATTCTGTTTTTCAGACCATGTAAACTATCTGTTTATGATGCCTTTATCATTAGTTGTTACAAATTCCAATACCTTTACTTCAACTTTTATGTCTACCGCGACATAATTGTGTCATTAATTTTTGATTGTCATTTAGGTTGTTGCACTACTGTCAACCTCCCTGGATACTATAGTTTATAAGGTTGACTATAATTTTCAAGCTTGGCCAATCCTGATCTGGATCCACTGAGTTGGATCAGCATCGAAAATCCCACATATCC